AGTCTCTTATCAATGGCAACATGTTGGTAAAAGCGAGTGGTTTCTCAGACCATGTCTGCAGCCTGTGAGAGATTTAACAAACTCTCTCTCACTGTGCGGCTGCGATGCTAATGTTGTTAGCACAGGTAGCTTCCCTTCACAACAGCAGAACTAACCTCTCGCTCTGGGCACAAACAGACTGCTGTGTCTTCAGGGCCAGACAGGTTTATCTTCTGTTTTCTCAATTCTTCGCTCAAAGTGCCGTATTTTTCGCCGAGTCTTGTAGTTTAAGATGTTATTCCTTCAGCACCGCTCTGGTGGAGCCACTACAGACGCACTGGACTCACCCCTGAGCGCGGCGCTGCGGCGTCGCGGCGCGGAGCCTCGCGTCGCGGAGCGGCTTTTTAAAATGTAACTTTATTATATTTTTACATAAATGAGCCACGGGCCGTGTCAAATCTCTTGGCGGGCCGGTTCCGGCCCGCGGGCCGTATGAATGACACCCCTGTCTTAGAATGAAACACTTAATACAGAGGTAATCCACCAGGAGGCTGCGGTGTGCGTTCTCATGGATGGATTATGGATCAGATCTGGTTCCACGGTGCTGCCACTAAGTCTCAAGGAAATGAATATAAGTCTATGTATTCCCAGGGAACATATGGAACATTACGTTACTCGATGTTATGGAGATCGACAGGCGTGTGTTGGAAAGAATGGCGACGGCGCGGTGAAGAATGAGCTATGCTAGCAGCTGTCGGTGTTTTGTCTGCTAAGCTCTGTAGCTTCAGGCAGTATTCGATACGGATCGGACTGGAAATAGTGATTGGGAGGTATGTTGACGAGGGTCTTAGCCACTGTCGGACACTGGATCAAGTAGCTGCTCTCTGGTCTCTCTATGGTCTCTCTCTCGGGTCTCTTTCTCTGGTCTCTCTCTAGTCTTTCTCTCGTCTTGCTCTCTGGCGTCTCTCTCTCTGGTCTCTCTCTTCGGTCTCTCTCTGATCTCTCTCTGGTCTTTCCCTTGTCTCTCTCAATTGTCTCTCTCTCTCTGGTATTTCTCTGGTCTCCCTCTGTCCAGTTTCTCTCTCCGGTCTCTTTCTCTGGTCCATTTCTCTGGTCTCTCTATCTGGTATCTCTCTCCGGTTTCTCTCTGGTCTCTCTCTGCTTTCTCTCTCTAGTCTTTCTCTGGTCTTTCTCTACTCTCTCTCTCTCTAGTCTCTCTCTCTGCTCTCCTTAGTCTCTTTCTCTGGTCTCTCTCTCTGGTCTCTTTCTCTGGTCTCTCTCACTGCTCTCTCTCTCTCTCTCTGCTCTCTCTCTCTGGGCTCTCTCTTGTCTCAATACCCCATAACATAGTCACAGTACATTATCGATTTGGGCAATTATTACCTCAAATTTGATCATTTCTTGCGGTGTATTGGTATTGGGCTAAGAATGCTATAGGATATCATTTTAAACTCGTGACACAGCCTTTTGCAGAGAGAGAGAGAGAGAGAGAGAGAGAGAGAGAGAAAATGAGATATATAGAGAGAGCAGAGGCCATGAGGGAACAATTAAAAACATATCGCAGTTGGAAACACACCGAGTTCGACCTGTCTCTGGTCACTGAGCCGATTCTAACCATTATCCTCCATGACTTACACACATTCACCTTCAGAGGCAGCGAGAGGACACACACACACACACACACACACACACACTCTGTCACACGCACACTATCACACACTTCTGCCAGACACGGAACAAGGACAAGAAGATATGCTACACTTCCATGTTTCTGCAAGAATATGAACCAATTTCACATGACTCTTCTTATATACATTTCTTTTTTTTTTTTGTCTTCAAGTCTAAAATCTCCAACTTTGGCAGAATAAAGAAGCAGGAATGAAGTTTAAAATATCTGGGGCATACTTTAGGTGAGACATTTTGGTGGTAGGGTAACCCGGAGCACCCTGAGAACACCTATGCAGACACGGGGAGAACATGCATAGCTCCCTAGTTGCTTATGTGCTTAAAACCTTCAAACAAGGTCAGAAATCTAGGGGTAATACTGGACTCAGACTTAAATTTTAATAGCCACATCAAATCAGTAACATCAGCAGCTTTTTACCATCTAAAAAACATTGCCAGGATCAAAAACATAGTGTCTAAAGCAGACTTGGAGATTCTTATCCATGCATTTGTCTCCAGTAGGTTAGACTACTGCAATGGCCTGCTCACAGGTCTGTCCAAACAGGCTGTAAAACAGCTGCAGTACATTCAAAATGCAGCAGCTCGAGTCCTGACTAGAACCAGGAAGTACGACCACATTAGTCCAGTTCTCAGGTCTCTGCACTGGCTTCCTGTGGCTCAGAGAATAGACTTTAAAACAGCTCTGCTTGTGTACAATTCTCTCCATAGCCTCGCACCAAAATATATTAGTGACATGTTAGTCCCATATGAACCAGCCCGGACTCTGAGGAGCACAGGGACTGGACTCCTGTTAGTGCCCAGAGTCAGAACTAAACATGGGGAGGCTGCTTTTCAGATTAATGCTGCTAAAATCTGGAACAGTCTTCCTGAAGATGTGAGACAGGCCTCCTCTCTGACAATGTTTAAAACCAGGTTAAAGACGGTTCTGTTTAACTGTGCATACAACTGAGGGATTTTATATTTTTATCTTTCTTTTTAATGTTCTGTGATAATTTATGATTTTAATGCTTTCTTGTTTTGTTCAGCACTTTGAATTGCCTTGTGTATGAATTGTGCTATATAAATAAACTTGCCTTGCCTTGCCTTATGTGATTTTGATAATGATTTGTTTTTTTCTGCAGCACTTTGACTGTTTGTTTACAACATGTGCTATGATTAGATTAGTGGATTACTGTATATATACTGTATAGATACTGTATATATACTGTACATATATATTACTAGTATCTACTCAAGAGGATATAGCTTCAAATGTAGCTCCTAGCTTCTCCTCTCAGACAGACAGACAGTCCATGGTTGGGATGGATGTGTTTGATTTGCCATGCAGCTCACACCTCTGGGTCAGCCCCATGTATTTTTCAGCTCCAACCGTCCGACAGAACTCTCTCTCTCCTCTCCTCCTCCTCTTCCTCCTCCTAGTTCTTCTCCTCCTCCTCTTCCTCTTCCTGGTGCGTAGCTACTGAACCCGTCTCATCTCTCAGTCTGTGTGAATTCAGTGGGAGCCAGGGACTAATGCAGCGTCTGTTTAAATGATGAGGACCAACACATTCACAGCATTAAGTTTGTGAATATATGGCTTTCTTGGCCTTGGGTTGAAGTCGTCTCAAGCTCGATCGCCTCTCTTTGTCTTTCCGTCAATGCAAAATAGTCTGGAAAGTATGGTAAATTGATCGATCGACCCCTTCTGAAACACACCGGTTTAATGGATTTCACAATTGTTGGTTTGGTGAGAGTTTAAATCGGAAAAGGCGGGAAAGTCAACCTACAAATGTGTTGAATATTGCAGTGTTCCCCGATCTTTATAAGCCATAGCCCACCTTAGTTTTGCTAGCAATCGCACGGCTCACCACCAGCTGAAATTGATACTAAAATGTTGTTCTGTAGCCTTTAATAACAACACAGTCATTCTCATTAAAGTCCATAAGAAAAGTCTTACTCATCTTCTCACAGTATGTTATTTTCAAATGATTTCGACCAATCAGATCACACGGCTGACCTGACCTCACATGTCGAGCAACAAATAATGTCAGAATGTGTCTCCGTTACTGTATACCTGCTTCTTTATTATGCTAAAGTCAAAGATTTAATGTTATCGTTCATTTAACTTGATCCCCTCCAACTGTTCTGTAACTGGTGCTGTGACCATAGACTGTAAATATTAACGGAGGTAGACACGCCTCTCTCCGCTGTTGAAACTAATGTGCCACCACTCTCGCCGTCTGTGGGCAGTGTCAAAATGGCCGTGGGGCTGGAGAATGTTGAAAAAAACCCATTTGCGTATGTGTTTGCTCCCATTCATTTAACGAGTAACTTCTGAAGTCCACAGCGACTAAGACTGGTCAAAAAAATTCACCCCCCTCAGCATTGACACACATCTGGACATTTGGGCCAAGAGAGACTTTTGGACCATCCTGTAAAGATGTCTTTGAGAGGTAAAAATATGCTATACAAAAGCATTGGGTAATTCTCTTTCCGGGTACACCCCCACAGGCCCAGATTGGCCAGAATACTGAACACATGACCTAAAATGTATTTTGTTTCGTATTCTGTTACATTGGAAAAAGTAGTACCTGTATTCTGAATACTTAGAAAACTTTCATTTTTACTAATAATTATTATTTATATTTACTGTGAATTATTTTTTTCTATTACACATTTTCAGATAAATTGTTTTATTGTTTGCTTTTTGAGACAAGTTACGTTTTCAGCCAAAGCAAAAAAGTGTGAGCTTAAAAAAAAGAGAAATCAACGAACAAAGTGGTAATGTGTTTTTTTTTTTATTAATTAATTAGGCCGGGTATTGTTTATTTGGTTCGGACAGTACATGTTAATGAACACATGAATCCAGATTGCAGCCATGGCCTAATTTTTATCCGTTGTTCCACATTTGAACTCAGAACGTTCTTGCATCAGAACGTTCTTGCATCAGAACGGGGCGACAGTAGCTCAGTTGGTAGAGCATTGGCCTTAAGCCCAGAAGGTCGTGGGTTCAATTCCCACCTCTGCACCTTCTCCATTGACTCCCACTGATGACTGCTGTCGTTGTGTCCTTGGGCAAGACACTTAACACCACTTTGCCCAAAGCCCCCACTGAAAGATCAAGGCTATGCTCACAGTCAGAGAGCAGCCGTCCTCCTGTGGACTCACCACCTGCAGAGGGTCAGAGAGGGGCTGGTGCTATGAGACTTGGGTCTCTGACTGCCAGCCCCCTGACCCAGAAATGGATTAAAGGGTAGAAAATGGATGGATGGATGGACGTTCTTGCTGAGAAGCAAGAGTGCTAACCACTCAAACACCTTCAATCAGTGCTTCACTGGCAGCTCCTCCTGTTGACATTATTTCAAATCAATCTTACCGGGTTGGTACAACCTGCGAAAACAATGAAATAAGTGTCATCCAAAAACATTCAGATCGAGTATTCAGCAGAAAAGAGCTGGAGGTTATAAAGATACTTACTCCACAGTTATGGAGCCTTGGTTGAGCATTTCCTCTGATTCTTTAAAATAGTCCGGGTTGTTGCATTTGATTGTTTTGGCAAAGTAAATCAGCTTTGAAATGCCTGGAACACAGAAGTCAAAAGGTAAAATAACATTGCAGTAGGTCATTGCAGTAGGTTAAGAAGTTTCTCCAAAAAGTTTCCATTCACTAGATTCCAGGAAGAAGAAGAAAGTGACACCTGATCTGTCGTGTTAAACACACCTGAGTCGATCATCTTCTTGGCACTACTAACGGAAGGATACTCAGTTGTGTAGACCGTGGCACCAATCAGATCCTCAGGGTTTGCCTTAATGATGGCCTGGATTGTAGCATCGCCCTCTGTAACACAAATGAAGTAGAATTAATTTCATTTATTTCAGGCAATGGCACAGTTGAGTAAATAAGGTAATTGAATGCAGTTAAATAATATAATGCAAAAATACAAACAAACAAAAACTCAATAAACAAAAAACATAATACACAAACATTTTATAAACAATAAATGCACGGTATAAACTTGGCCAATTAATTCTGCCTGAAAAGTAATCCCACCCCTTTATCCCCTTTCAGTGATTAATGATCAACTTCACTGTAACTTTGTTCAAGCATTATATCATGGCGTTACCACGGGCAACAAGGAAATTTACATTGCAACAACAAGTAATACCAACAAAGGTAAAGGAACATTGAGCACATGTTACACTATGAGACGGAGAAAATCTGATTAGATTAAAGACCCTCATCTCTATATTGTGACCAGACCGTATGTTTATAGAACAGTTTAAATCAATAAATAGTTTAACAGTGCTTGTGTTTTGAGTCCAGTTTGTTCCAAAGTTTTACTCCACATACAGACAAACAAAAACATTTACGAGTGGTTTTTGATCTCGGCAGTGAAAAATATCCAAAACCTTTTCAAGTTACGAGCTCGCTCAGGAGTGGTAAAGAAACGCTGCAGATTAGACGGTAATAATTTGTTGAAGGCTTTATACAAGACTTTTGATGTATTATATTTTACAAGATCATCAAACTTTAGCAGCTTTGAGTAAACAGATTATGAGTATGTTCCAGAAAACCAACCTTATGGATGATCCGCTCTTTTCTGTGATATGATGAGAGGATGTAGTGTGTTCTGATAAGTGTTACCCCAGACCTCAACACAATACGTCAGGTGTGGAAGAACCAGGCTGCAGTATAAAGTACGGAGTGCATTTCCATTTAGGTATAGTTTTGCTTTGTTAATAATGCTTTTGGAATTTTTTGTTTTTATGTGTCTGACATGGGGTTTACATGACAACTTGCTATCAATTTTTACTCCCAAAAACTTAATTTCACTTACCATATCCATTTGGATATCATTAATACTTACTTTCTACAAGCAGTTATCAGTTTAAAAGGGAGCTATTAAAAACTATTTTTGTATTTATAAAACTCATTACAAACATGTTTTTCTCACCTGAGCAATGTGTTTTAGATCATTAATAAATCAGTAAAATAAGTTTTCAACATGAACGCTTCTGATTGGTCAGAACATTGATAGTGCAGTTGTAGGGGTCGAAGCTCTTGCTTTGTGTTTACGACTGCGCTTCTGCTGCGACACAAATCAGACTGTAGAGAAAAAAGAACAAGGATTTTCTTAAAATGGGTGTATTTTGTACAGTCCCTGGATGCAGCAATGAAAATTACCAAAAGAAGAGTGTAAACAGCAGTCCCTACGATCTTTGACTTATTCTGAGAAGGTCCAAACAGAGAGAAGACACCAGCACCAGGTCCATGATGTTAGTTCTATCAAGCTCCAACTAAAACCAATTTAACGAGTTTCAACCCAGTATTCAGCAGAAAACACAACAACTGTCATTGAACCATGAATCCATGTTCCACTCTAACTACGTTTAGTAAAAGATATACAGTGCCTTGCGAAGGTATTCGGCCCCCTTGAACCTTTCAACATTTCAGGCTTCAAACATAAAGATATAAAATTTTAATTTTTTGTCACTAATCAACAACAAGTGGGACACAATTGTGAAGTGGAACGAAATTTATTGGATCATTTAAACTTTTTTAACAAATTAAAAACTGAAAAGTGGGGTGTGCAATATTATTCGGCCCCTTTACTTTCAGTGCAGCAAACTCACTCCAGAAGTTCAGTGAGGATCTTTGAATGATCCAATGCTGTCCTAAATGACTGATGATGATAAATAGAATGCACCTTTGTGTAATCAAGTCTCCGTATAAATGCACCTGCTCTTTGATAGTCTCAGGGTTCTGTTTGAAGCGCAGAGAGAACCATGAAGACAAAGGAACACACCAGGCAGGTCCGAGATACTGTTGTGGAGAAGTTTAAAGCCGGATTTGGATACAAAAAGATTTCCCAAGCTTTAAAAATCTCAAGGAGCACTGTGCAAGCAATTATATTGGAATGGAAGGAGTATCAGACCACTGCAAATCTACCAAGACCCGGCCGTCCCTCCAAACTTTCATCTCAAACAAGGAGAAGACTGATCAGAGATGCAGCCAAGAGGCCCATGATCACTCTGGATGAACTGCAGATAACTACAGCTGAGGTGGGAGAGTCTGTCCATAGGACAACAATCAGTCGTGCACTGCACAAATCTGGCCTTTATGGAAGAGTGGCAAGAAGAAAGCCATTTCTCAAAGATATCCATAAAAAGTCTCGTTTAAAGTTTGCCACAAGCCACCTGGGAGACACACCAAACATGTGGAAGAAGGTGTTCTGGTCAGATGAAACCAAAATCAAACTTTTTGGCCACAATGCAAAACGATATGTTTGGCGTAAAAGCAACACAGCTCTTCACCCTGAACACACCATCCCCACTGTCAAACATGGTGGTGGCAGCATCATGCTTTGGGCCTGCTTTTCTTCAGCAGGGACAGGGAAGATGGCTAAAATTGATGGGAAGATGGATGGAGCCAAATACAGGACCATTCTGGAAGAAAACCTGTTGGAGTCTGCAAAAGACCTGAGACTGGGACAGAGATTTATCTTCCAACAGGACAATGATCCAAAACATAAAGCCAAATCTACAATGGAATGGTTCACAAATACACGTATCCAGGTGTTAGAATGGCCAAGTCAAAGTCCAGACCTGAATCCAATCGAGAATCTGTGGAAAGAGCTGAAGACTGCTGTTCACAAACGCTCTCCATCCAACCTCACTGAGCTCGAGCTGTTTTGCAAGGAAGAATGGGCAAGAATTCCAGTCTCTCAATTTGCAAAACTGATAGAGACATACCCCAAGCGACTTGCAGCTGTAATTGCAGCAAAAGGTGGCGCTACAAAGTATTAGCGCAAGGGGGCCGAATAATATTGCACTCCCCACTTTTCAGTTTTTTATTTGTTAAAAAAGTTTAAATTATCCAATAAATTTCGTTCCACTTCACGATTGTGTCCCACTTGTTGTTGATTCTTGACAAAAAATAAATTTTTATATCTTTATGTTTGAAGCCTGAAATGTGGCGAAATGTTCAAAGGTTCAAGGGGGCCGAATACTTTCGCAAGGCACTGTAGATATGACACATACCATCATGTTTTAGACTTTAGAACCACAGACACACGTTCAGTATAAGACTTTAGAACCACAGACACATGTTCAGAATAAGACTTTAGAACCACAGACACATGTTCAGAATAAGACTTTAGAACCACAGACACATGTTCAGAATAAGACTTTAGAACCACAGACACATGTTCAGAATAAGACCATAACGCTAAATGTTTGCATTTGATTGAAGACACTCACCATTTCTCTCAAATTCAACATCTGGAGCTGGGACATGCAGTAGAGCTGAGGCTTCTCTCCCTCTGTGTTCCGGGTATTGACGTGTTAGCTGGTTTTAGCGTGTTAGCTGGTGTTAGCGTGTTAGCTGGTGTTAGCGTGTTAGCTGGTGTTAGCGTGTTTGCTGGTGTTAGCGTGTTTGCTGGTGTTAGCGTGCTTGCTGGTGTTAGCGTGCTTGCTGGTGTTAGCGTGCTTGCTGGTGTTAGCGTGTTTGCTGGTGTTAGCGTGTTTGCTGGTGTTAGCGTGCTTGCTGGTGTTAGCGTGTTTGTTGGTGTTAGCTGGTGTTAGCGTGTTAGCTGGTGTTAGCGTGTTTGCTGGTGTTAGCGTGTTTGCTGGTGTTAGCGTGTTTGTTGGTGTTAGCTGGTGTTAGCGTGTTAGCTGGTGTTAGCGTGTTTGCTGGTGTTAGCTGGTGTTAGTGTGTTAACTGAGGTCTGTAAATATAATCCATCTTGTCAAAGCACTTCCAGACTTTTCGGTTCTGTCCACTTTTACTGTTGTGATCTTTTCATTTCACGGTAGTCACTTTTACGCAGCTGAACCAGACCCGAACCAGCACCATGGAGAAAACTGCATTTTAAATATGAATTACATCAAATGAATGAAGCAGTCAAAATGATTGCTCTGGTAGTTAAAGGCAGGACAAATAGGATTTCAAAAGTCAAAGATAATTTCAGTAATCTTCAGCTTTCAAAACAAAAAGTCGTCAATTTGACTGCTCTGTATGATTTATGTATGTATGATGTTTACTTTGATATTTCACTTTTTTTTTGTATATTGGTGTAAAGAATGGAGTGGTTCCTTTGGGGACACTAGAGACAGACTCCGGTCAGAGAATCTTCACTCAGCTTTAATGCAGGGTTGTCAATTTGTCACAATTTGTACATTGTGTGTGTATGTGGCTATGGAAACAGAAAGGGACAAAGAAAAAACAGTATTAATAATAATAATAATTAGATAATGAATAACATAATAAACGATAAATAGTCAATTATTTGGACTAATAGGAACTAAAATAAATCAGGAAAAATGATAACATAAAGTACAACATAGGTACCCTTTAAGGTCTATGTGAGGTTAACATAAATATGTAATCAGTGTTGCCAACTTAGCGACTTTGTCGCTAGATTTAGCGACTTTTCGGACCCTATAGCGACTTTTTTAAATGTTGTTAATGTTGAAATTAATTTTGTACATTTGTAGTTCTAAACATATTTAGGGTGTTTTTTACTCACTTTTGTCTCTCCCACGACGTTATTCCTCTCTCCTACAGCGTCCGTTACAGTTATTTGCAAATTGCCAATTATGCAAATTAGGCGATGACGTCATTTAGCGACTTCTAGCGACTTTTGGGACAGCCAATAGCTACTTTCCTTACTGAGGAGTTGGCAACACTGTATGTAATTAAGCGGTGTAAAACACGAACAGAGGTAACTGAAATGGCACTGTTAATACAAGGGTGCAGGAAAGTATACATGACGAGTAATATTAGCATAGAGAAGCATCTTTAGCTTACTTAGCTGAAAACAACACAGATCAGGAAAA